TGACTCCTACATGCCACCCCTTGGTGATATGCCGAACCCTAACCATTGGGTGCCTGTGGGCACATTAGTTATTTGAGAAACTAACCTGGTGACCACCACAACATAGCAGCAACGAAAGGCATAGCTGAGCAAACAGAAGTTGCAGGAGCCACCTTTTCTTCCCCTCCGCTTCTTATTCTTTGTGGTTGGATATACTGCAGAGGAAAACATCTGTCTACAGCCAACTATCTCTCCCTCCTTCCCTCTCTCCCTCCCTCTGTGTGTGCATGTGTATGAATGGGAGAGGGAGAAAGTTGATTTAATAAGAATCTCTCCAAGCCCCACTTGTGATCCAGAGATGTTCATCACAGCAAATGAAGACAACAGTGGCTGGAGGCCTCCACTTTGCTTTGAAATGACCACAACTTCTCAAAAGAAAATTTGTTAATTAAAAAGTATGGAAGGGCACGTGGCAAGAAAGTTGTTCAAGGGTGCACTGATACTCATAGGCACCAGGTCGACTATCTGTGCACTAAAGTCTAACATGGGCACTGGACCTTCGCTGAAGTACTGAAAATGTGTGAAAACCCAAGTAGTTCCAATGACAAGAAATTATTTGTCTAAAATGAACACATGCAAACTTGGTAGTTAGAATAAAACTGGTGCAATATAGTGGCTGGAAGTGTAAGTTGTTCAAAACTCAGTTCAGTCTTATGTAGGTCTCTCCTCTCTCTTTCAGACATTTTCCTGCAATACAGAAATATTAATATTGGCCAATGAAGTCACCATGAAGGCTACTGAGATAATAAGAAGCTGTCTGAACTCTCTAAAGCATTATATAAATGTTTATTGTGATTCTGAGTAAAAGACTCTGTTCCTTTGTAGCATGAGGTCAACATGGATTTCTTCATAGCCAAGATTTTTTTCACTTTTCTCTTATTGCCACTTTCTTTCCTGCTGATCTTTCTTACTGCAATGCATGTATAGGAAGTTACAGGATGCTGAATGAGGCATTTTGCATCTGACTTCTTAAATGTTAAGAACACTCATATAAGAATAGTACATGAATTGTTTAACAATTACGTGGACGAAGTAGCGATAAAGAAAACTATAGGACAGGGTGGAAATGGGGTTTCCTTGATATGTTTATTCAAGCACAAAGTATAATGGGACTTTGGTCTTCAGTAAACATATACTCATTTCCTTCTGCAACATTTAGGCTGCAATTTGATAAGCATGCACTTAGGAGTAAATCCCACTGATCTCAACAGGTTTACTTCTGAGTAGGCATGGGAAGTAGTACATCGGTACCTGGGATACTTATGCAAACTTACTAGTTAGTAAATCTCTTTAAGACCATGGATTAGCTTCTGAGTTTTTGGAACAATGCCACAAATAAAATGCTATTTTAGTTTTGCACTGGAGCTCAAATGGCTTCACAACCTCTCCAGAACATTGGATCCTGGACACTGAGAAGTACAACCACCACAAAATCAGATGCAATTATTTGGCGGGGAGGGTGTAAATGCAAACAAACTGGCCGTGAGACCTTACACATCTACTCAGAACCTATCGACTTACCCTCAGAGATAACTGCATACAGATTTGCAGCCATGGCAGAGCCTTTTCTATTTCCAGGCCCAGGGAAGTAATCTATTCCTAAAGAAATTACTTTGGGGTTTTGTTTTGAGGTTGTTGGGTTTTTGTGTTGTTGTTGTTGTTGTTGTTGTTGTTGTTGTTTTTGGAATGGCCCTTCTGACCTTGATACACTAACAATCTGTTCCTCACCTATCCTCTTTTTCCTTGGTCATATCCCTGGGCCTAACCATGGCTTTTAGTGGTGGTTGGAAAATGCTAGCTGGCGCCCAAGGTAAACTTGTCTAAAGATACATTCTTCTTTGCCCACTTCTGAGTGTCAGCTGTTTGTCTGGAAGCTTTTTCTGCAAAAGCTTTTGAACAGGAGGATAGGAAGAAAAAATGTAGAGTGCAATTCAAACTAGATGTACCCCCACCTCAAATTCTGACACAAGGAAAAAGAAAGAAATGGGGAAAGGGTGGGAGGAAAAAACCTTGTCCCCATCAAATCCTTCCAACAAACTCCTTTATCAGAGGTTCATTGTCAATCAATTAGCCAAGGCAGTGGGGATCTGTAGGGGGGTGTTTTTGGAGAAGACAATGGGTCTCTCTGTCGTATAACTATTTAATCACTTTTACTAAATAAATAAAGCAGCCCCAAGGTGCTGTCATGTCAAGGGAATTTACAAGAAAACAAAAAACCCCAAAAGAGGTGGGGGATACCTCATTTTTCCATTGGCCATTACTTTTTTCCTTCCCTGAAGAACAAGAGAGGGTTATTACTGTAGCCTTAAGTCTCATCTTTGTGCAGCTCGTCTTTGATTCCCACTCGGACCCTGCCACTTTCTGGCACTAATTTGTCAGGCTGAACAAAGAAGGGATTTGTACCTCCTGTAAGGTCTCAATTAGGAAAGGCTTCTGCTGTATTATGCGCCATTCAGATGGGACACAATGATGGTAATTACAGGAATTTGCACTAAATGACTGAAGAATTTGCAGAAAAACTTTTTTTCTACCTCCACAAAGCTTACCCCTCTTTAACAGCTGTGGGGGAATGGGGTGAGGGTATGAGGGGGGCAGAATGGGGGGGGTGCACCTAATGTCTACAAGATGCAATTACCAGCAACAGTCCTACTAGGTTAAACAGCCACCCCATGAAGTTAAAAGAGCAGACATTTTTCACAGTGGGAAAAGACAATTCAAGATCTGCAGCAACTATTTTTGACACACACAGTTCTGCAGTCTCCAAAGCATGGCTTTTCTGCTCTTTAGCTTTAGAACATTTATGATGTAAATCACCATAAACTATTTCAGTTTCACTGCTTATATCTCTTTCTTTCCTTCAGGAACCTCAGGGGTGTTTACATGGGACTATAAAAAGGCCTCCCATTGAAAATCTTGTCCAAGATTATACAAGATGTTCTCTGACCTCCTGAACCATTTACCAAGTCTAGCCACAGGATCAGAAATGTGAGTGTGAACCAGGAAACACACAGGTGCCCACATCACAGACAAGAAGGCCCAGAGGCAAAGCAGGCTTTTCCACCTACCTGGGTGACAAACATCACTGCCTAACACAGACCTGCCCTCCTTCCTGTCAAAGCCTTCCCATACAAGGAGGAATTTTTAAATGATGCTGGAGAGAGAAGAGACAAACACAGCTGCAATGCAAAAAGCACAAATTGATCTGCACACCCAGGGAGACAATATTTTGTCCAGCCATTGCCAGCTGTAACCACATAACTCCCACCTTCATACTGACATTCCTCTACATGAGGATGCATTTGGGGACAGTTCAAGCTGTTCACATATAGCAGAAAAACCTCTAGCACTAATTCCTACTGCTCTTCCTGACACAAATAATTTGCTCAAATAGCTTATAAAATGTAGCATCGTCCACCCATTTGTACAAATGAGAAGAAATATTTTCAAGGGTACTAATTGTGGCATGAGGATGAAAAAGTAAGGTTATCAACAGAGAAGTTACCAGAAATGTAATCGCACTGAGGGAAATAAATTAGTACACTCATAATGACAGGCAGAGGAAGTGGCTGATTGTAAAATAAGCTTAATATTGACTTAATATTTATGAATTGAAAGATGGTAATAAAAAGAAAACAAACAACCGGCTAGGGAGGGGGTTATTACAGGTAATTAAAAAATGCTGTTTGCCCTTAAAATGTGAGACACTTTACAGACACTGCCCCCTGCTGGAATTACTAATTGCTGCATTCCTGGGCATCAGCAAACAGATGGCATTGCAAGTTTCCTTCCACATTACCACCTCCTACCTTCTCAAGCGCCCCTTGAGAAATGTCAAATTGTTGCCAGGACTCTTTCATGGCCAATTCTGCCACCACTCTCACTTGCTCCAGTTCTTACTACTCTGGAAAATTCTTTTTACACCATAGTAATATAATGAGAAGACTAGTTCAAGAGTAATACGCAACACCATGTGAGTGGATTTCCACTCATGTAATAAGACTTCTCCTCTTTTCCCTCCTGCCATCTCCCTGCACTTCCCTACCTGTTTTAAAGGGTCCTCAACCATCCAGGGCAGATTTATTTTTGCAGGGGGTGGGGGTGGAAGGTCTGTTTTGCCAATGGTGTCTATTTTAATTGACACTGCTGGATTTCACCCCTTGTACTTTGCAGAAGTAAGAGCAATAATAGGATCTCCTACTATTACAGTGACTTTTAAATTGAAGCTGAGAATAAGACACATTCACTCAAGGCCACAAGAGGATACCTGCTAGTCCAACTTTGAATGCTGCTTTAAGTGCAGGTTATGCAGTTAAATGAATACAGGAAGAGGCCTACAGTTGGATCCCTGAGCACCTCTTATTGATTTCTAGCAACCTCACTGGCAATTCTGGGGTCCCAACTGAACTGGAGAATAGTGGGCACAGTCTGAGTGTGAACAGGAGTCTTGCTCCAGTCAAACTGTAGAAAAGATCAACAGAAAGAGAACGGCAGATCTTCCTTTTCCTCTCTATCTCCTGCACAGGGTGTTCCTCCACACCCGGAAGAGGTGTTCTACATATTATCTTAGTTTTTGCTCTGTAAATTCACAATGAGCTACACAGTGAAATAAGATACTCCTAAGTTCAGCCATGGCAACTTGATCTAGTGAATGTAGGATGATGTATTATACTTGCCAGCTATCTGAAGACACAGAACCATTCACAAGACCAGACTGCACATGGATATCCTAGCCAGGAGGTGGCTAACACTAGTGGCATAAATAGGTCTATCATTTCCTGCCTGGAAAAGATACTTGGCACATGCATTCCAGCTCATTACAATATAGGACATGTGCAGAGGCACAGACAAGTCTTAGACACTGCAAGAGGCAGTGATGCAAAACTCAGCAGAGAACTCTTATGCCCTGGAAAGACATGTAAGTAGCACAGTTGAATCAGAACAAGGGCCATTTATTTGCTTACCTGCACACTTGAAACTCTGGGCAGTCAGTCCTCTTTCCAAGGACAAAGTGGTTAAGATGCTCAAGAAGCTAGTGGTTACGGACTGGCGCTTGATCTTCCTCTGCTCTTTTCCACAGGACTGGCCTTGGACTTTGTTTCTGAGAGTTACTTGCATATTTTGACCCAAGCTTGCAGCATTGGCAGCTGTCTTCAAGGTCTCCATCCATTCTTGAGCTCTTTGACGAGTCTCTGCACGCAGACGAAGCACATCTTGAGGAAAGATCACCTGAAAGCAAGAGTCACAATCATCCAGAATATCAGTCTGGACAGAGAGACACATGTCAATATTGTGGCTCCACAGAGGGTCTTCGTCAATCCCACCAGTCTGAAATGCCAGGAGGAGAGACTGGCTGAGTACAAAATGGAAGGCCTTCCAATTATTTTGGAGGGTCAATCTGTAAAGAGTCCCTGATTTGAGAATGTTTTGGTAGTCCTTGATGTTTGGAGTCAGAGATGTTGAGCGGAAAAAATCAGCAGGCTCCTTCTGTAAAACATGATTTTGGGTGATGCCCCTCTCATCATTGTCTAATTTCTGTGAGCTCTCCAAGTCTCCTTGTGGCCTCAGGAAAGATGGCACTGAGGAATGCACGGCTTCCCAAAGCTTTTGCCCCCAGTCCAAGGTCTCCCATGGGGATTCTGCTTTAAGCTGTAGATGTGAGTTACTGAACAGAACTGCATCAACCACACTGGCTTCCACATTGATGCTTTGGAAATGCAAAAGTAGGTAGACTGTAGGAAGGTTCTGATTACCACTGCTGTCGAGCCAGTACAGATACAGTTCATATGGAAAGAGTTCTGCATAACACGCCTGCCAGTAGCTGTCTCTGTTGTTCTTAATTTCTAAGTACCCCTTCTTCCGGATGTTTGAGAATGTTGGCTTCTGTTCTAAAAGAGAGTTCAAATAAACATAAGTATACATACTTTAAACTTCTCTCTCTACAGTCTGGCAAAGTGAGGAGGAGATTTGATTTCCAAACTGCATAATGGTGTGCTGAGAGTAAAGGTATAGATACATGGGGGGAAACAGTCAAGCTCACAGAGATATACAGAGGCGAAAATGCTTAAAGCCAAGGTAAAAGATTCACTCAACATCAGAAAGCCTTACAACGTATCTACTTTAATTGTCTCTGATCACACTATTTTGGAAACTGTGAAAAGCATGCAAGTATAGTTGACAGAACATTTAAAATGTTCTGAACTTGCCACCTTCAACAGAGCACCTGTAGCCAACCCAATATCTAGATACACATTCTTAGAAATAATAATCAACAACATGAATTGGGGCCCTGAAAGGTCAGATGCTTTGTCTGGGGGATGGTCTTGGGTGCAACACTTTAGCAGGAGGCATAGGTGGTCTCAGAGGTCCAGAGTGTCTTTCTCACAGGCTGAAAGAACAGCTGTAACCCATTCTGGTCAGAGATGGCCTGGGTTCACACAACATGTGAAGCCCTTGGCTAAATTCCTCTCTGAGTATATTTCCTCCCGCTCCCTCAGTCTTCCTGCGGTATCCTGGGAGCACAGCTCGAGCACCAAGTTGAGGCAAGCCATTTAGCACTGGCCATGGCTTGGATATTTAAGAGAGTGTCTTTGTCTTATCCATACTTGGGGAAATGAGAGCATCCCAGGGCCACATGAACACCTCCCAAAAAACCTGCTGAGTTAACACAGATTCGAGGGTGCTTTCCACACACATCCTTTTAAAAATAAATCTGAAAAAATATTTAGCAGTGGGTTACAAAGTTACAATTTGGCATGGACACTTCTCTGCATGGGCACAGTGTCCATGCCAAAATGAAAAATTGTAGCCCACTGCTAATGATGCTTAAATCCTTTTTTAAAAAGTCAGGTGTGTGGAAAGCACCCTCTGCAGCAGAAATTTCAAGGGGTTTTGGTGGTGACCCTGGGCTGTCCTCACTTTCCTGAACTCTGAATAACACAGAAGCAGAAGCCCCCGCAACCCAACCCCCCTGAACATGTAACAAAGTATTTTGGGCTCACCCCCTTAATTCTCCCCTTTTCCAAGCAGGATCTCCAGAGTTCGGGGAGTGTTAGGAAGCTCCAACTGTCCTGTCAGTTTTCAACTTACTCTGAGTGGATGGGATGTCAGGACATGGCAAAACCTGAGGGAAACCCCAATGGGATGCTGCAAATGCTTGTGATTCAAATAGACAAGCCTTCCTCTCTGCATGGGGGTTTCCAAATTTTGAAGTGCCTCACTGCTGTTAGCAGGGAGAAGAAAGCCTTTCCCAGTTATCTCAACTACAGCTTTGGCGCTTTGGGGGGCCTGGGAAAGGTGGCAGCGCTCCAGTCGCTTAGCTAGACAGGCAAGCTTTTCTACTGCTTTTCGTTCCCTTTTTTTGATTCATTGCTGCTGTCATCTGTCACCAACTACTCTCTGATTTATGGTGACCCTACGAATGAAGCCCTCCCAAATGTCCTGGCCTTGACAGCCTTGCTCAGCTCTTCTATGTTTGAGGCTGTAGCTTTTTCTCTATGGAATCAATCCACCTCATAGTTGGTCTTCCTCTTCTTCTGCCTTCGATTTTCCCTAGCAAGATTGTGTTCCCCCTTGAGCCTTGCCGTCTCATTATGAAATAGGACAGCTTCAATTTCATCATTTTTTGCTTCCAGGGAGAGTTCTAGCTTTATTATCCAAGTCTGAACAACACAATTAAGACATGATGGCTTTGTTATACCTTACTACAAACTATAGCTTATGAACCACCTTATGGGAAGAGTGCTGGGTTTAGACCAAATATATACTACCATGGCTCATAACCAGCCATGGTTTAATGTGTTGGGCAAACCCAGTCATTGTTTACCTACACACCCTAGCGCTGGTCCAAACCAACTTCAGCTGGTCCAAAATAAGGCAGCAAAATATGTTGGTTGATAAGGATGCCAGTGCTTTGCCATCTCCATTGACCTCCAGGCTCAGTTCAAAGTTCTGAGGAATAAAGTTACCTGAAGGATCACTTCCTCCCATAATGTGGGGAACTGAGTTCTCTCCTCCTTCCTTTCAAACAACAGAGAGTACTCTGGGAAAAAGCACTTCATTACCAACATACAGCCAGCAAACTAAGAGCCAACAGAGGGAAAGTCTCTGAGCATGCACAGAGCAGTTTGTTGAACCCAAACTAGAAACTGTTTCTGAGAATCCTTTTTCAGTAACCCTGGTCTCTACTCCTCTGGCTGTGCCCCTCTGGAGAAGGGCCAGCATCCTAGATCTACACAGGCCCACTAGCTGGCTAGCCCTTCTCTTCCAACACCATGTTCTAGGGGCAGAGATCAGACCAGGCTTCTCTCGCATGTCTCCTCCTGTCACTTCCAAAACCTGTAGGCTCCCAGGATCTGCCTGAACCCCTGAAGATGACTGTCTTGAAATACACTCTCCTTCCTTCACCATCTCTATGTCCCCAGACCTTCTTTTCCAGTCCTCACCATCCTCATCCGAAGAGTTGGTGCCACCCAAGCCTTGGAAAGCACACCAAGAATAACTGTTTATTTCATTCCCAGCACATGTATATCTTCCAGGATCTTAACAGAGGACCTTCTCTACATACTCTTGCCAAATAAGGAATGGTGGGTGGCTTTTACAGAGAGGCTCTTTTTGGTATTCCAGCTTTATGCTGCCACTGGACTGTAAAAATACTGTTTTATCCCACTATTTTCAAATTAAACTGGTTCTTTACATAAAAATGGCTAGACATGGCTCCATAAGAAAAGCCCTCAGTATTTGAAAAAACATCTGGTGAAGAAGACTAGTAAGGGGACTGGTAAAAATACTGGCACGTAATGTTTTTTGTGCAAGAGGAAAACCAATGCTTCCAAAAGTAAAAGTTAAAAGTAATATTGTCCAGAAGTAATGAGAAACAACCAGGAATGTGTAATACAGAGTTTAACGTAACTGTTGGGAGTGAGAAAGATGGCTGCTGTGAGCGCTCATCCTCAAGGACTGCTGGCTGGGCTTCAGAAGAATCAGAATTGGAATGTGAAGCAGAACTGTGGGGTGCCTAGGAATGTGGGACAAGCCTAAACAGTGGGATGGGAAAAGTGTCTCAAGGAGAGACTCCCCAGGTGGGTGGGCAGTCCCTGGGGATAGAGGGGACCCAGAGCAGGGGAGTTTCTCAGACACAGACCAGGCCACCCCAACTCTTGCCGCCATGATGCAGTGTCAGCAGAGGAGTGCAGCCCAATGAGAGGATCAGTCCATGGAGAGGAGGCATGTTCGCTTTCAAAAGGCCCCTTGTAAAGGGATGGGGCCAGGCCTGTTCATAAGGAGAATTCCTGGAGGTGATTACTAGATTGGGTTCAAAAACAGCTTTGTGTATGCTCAGATTCATTCTGGGTGTTTTCTGCTTTTTGGTCAATAAAGAATACTTTGCAAGGGAAGGAAAAGTTCTGTGGCTTTGGAATGTGCAAAGGAGGAGCCCTGGCTCTTGACAATAACTGTTGGAAAGCTCATGGAAAATTTTATAAAATCTTGAGCAACTTCCTTCCACAGCCTTCCACAACCTGTTGTCTTCCAGTTGTAGGGGACCACAACTCACAGTATTGCGGACCATTGGCATGGTGTCTAAAACATCTGGAGATCAGCATGTTGGGAAAAGCTCCCTGTCTCACACCACTAAAAGAAAAACTATTTACATGTTATCAGCCACAATAAAGCCTTCTCATGGCTACCACACTTATTAAAGAGCAAGCCCCACTGCACATGGTGGGATTTGCATGTAGTACAGGACTGTACTAACATTATTTCTCCTGGAATAGTTCCTTGATCAAACCAATCTGGAAGTTAGTTTTGAAATATAGTAACCAAATAATGAAGTATAAGATCTCATCTAATCCAATCCTATAGGAGTGCAGAATCTTAATCAGACCTGTTTGGGGGTCCAATCTGGTCCTTTTGGGTTCTCCAGAAAGCCACAACTCCTTCTCCTGCCCCCTTTTCCCCAATCACCAAGCACTTGATGGTTTTCCTATTTTTGTTCTTCCTCAAGCTAAAAGGTTTAAATGTTTTATATAAGGCTAGTTACTGGCAGCAAGCATTTCAAACTAAAATATGCTGGTAGTCTAACCTTATCCCTTTACCTTTGGCCTAAACCTTTTACCTTCAGTCCCATCTGCATAACTGGAATGCAGCTCCCAAGAGCGACTCCAAAATGGAACCTGAGACTCAGGCTGGAAGACACTCCTAACCTTTATGATAAATGTTCCCTTTGATTACTTGCAAAACAGTGTAAAAATATTGCCAAAAATTCAAATTTAGAATGGTTCTAAGTCTTCTGATGGCAACAAAAATGTATATTGCAGTTTTATTGGAAAGAGGAACACACACAAATTAGTAAATTTTTCCATAAGTTTTAGGACACAGTTATCATGACTAGCACTGACTTATTAGGAGTACATAAGGTGGGTGAAAATTGTTTTACAAAAAGATACTTTAAACATTTTGGAATGAAACACTTTCGGTGGTCAGTTCATATGCTTTGTTTATTTTGACTCAATAGTTCAATACACTTATATGTATATTCTATCTGTGTGTAGTTGCTGGCTTGCTAACATAAAAACTTGAAAACCAAAGTTTTAAAAAACAAAGAAAATTAGTATTCTAACTAGAGCCCACAAGTAACACAGATGTGCTTCAGATGTGATACATGAATAATATATGGTCTTTCTGAGTTAAATTAGCAGCAGAAAAGTGTAGGTCTTTGATGTACAGGTAGTCCCCGGGTTACGAACACCCAGGTTACTAACAATCCATACTTGCAAACTCACAGACTGCCATAAACCCTATATGACTATCTCTAGTCAAAGCTGTAAATATATCTAGGGATCTACACAACACATTCAGCAACATGTCATCAGTGGCCATGTAGTTCCTT